AGCCCCGGGTTCCTAGTTTCAGGTTAGGGTTTAGTGTTTGAAGTCCGGGGCGCAGGTTGTGTTCAGGCCTGTAAGTTCGCTACATGACAGCCATCATCGTTACGTCAAGTCGTTCTGTTGCTGTGAGGGTAGTTAGTTCTCTAGCGCGAAGATGTCAAGCATATGATTACGCCGTGCTCGTGTTCATTGTAGTTGCAGATCTACAGAATTTTAGAGATACACTGCGACATGCCAAGGGGCTCCTACCATTCGCAACTCGCCAGCGCTGCTTAGCCATTCTGACCTTAGAAGACAGCGCTCTCCAGTTCCCTTTCGGCTCGTTCTCTTGAAGCCTTGCTTGCAGACACAGTGTTGGCCATGGCTCTGCCCCCGCCGGATGTGTATCCAACGATGGAGCAGGTGGGAAGTGAGTGGAAGTGCAATCAAGAGATTTCTATCCTGGTAAGCTGCTATTCGACCGTTTCCTCGATGTAGGGTGCAAGAAAGAAGCTCATGCGACTGAGTTTTCTGCACACGGAGAGGCTGCCGAGGCAGCTGTCCATGGCGCCAGGGTGCAGAAGGATGCTGACTTGGGGTGGGCCCAAGTCGAGATGGCACCAAATCGGGCAACTGGGACTCAGCAGCAAGAAGTTTCTGTCAACGAATCTGGCTGCCCTTCAGGCAGTGCTAGTTGAGAACTCCTCGCACTGACCAGCAACAAAATGGTGATGATCAAAACTCCGAGATGGATCAAAGCCCGACGGCCGAGACCCATCACAACTGGCATGCCAAGCGCACACAAAAGGTTGGCTCCGAGATGGCCGGCAACGAGGGGGTGCTTCCGTACCAGCCCCGTGCAGGCGAGGCCGGGACCCCTTTCTACGAGGTGAACTGCACTCTCGAAGTCGGAGGACTACTTCGTTGCTGGTTCCTGCGACGGTGCCTGGAAGCCTGCAAGGCCTGTGGCACACGTCTTGCGATCAGCCAGTGGAATGGCCCGCTTCATCTATGAGACGTGGGCTTTGCTCATGTTTTTTGGGATCAACATTGCTCGAGAAAGCCTCTATGTAGTAGTGCAACGACAGATGTGGTTGTGCCTGGTGCCAAACCCATCTTCTCGTCCTGACCGGGTGAGGGCAGCCGGTGCCGACTGAGCCAGCACTACGCCGATGCAGCCGAACAGCTGCAATTCATTGCAACAGCGACTCCAAAACTATCCTCGTTCGCGCTGTCAGAGACACATAGCCAGTACATTCGCTACAACTGCTCGCAAGAAATTCTGCAGATGCGACAAGAGTTTTAGTAGGAGAATGCTTCGTGACCAGTTTGGGAGTGGCCCAATGTGTCGTTGGTTGCCAGACTCTAGAACACCTACATAGAGGTTCATGGGCATCTATGTTTTTCAATCATGTTCCCTCCCTGTGTTTTTGTGTATAAACAGACAGGGTCTTGTTGGATGGACGATTGGAATGATTTGAAGCAGAGGGACCAGCTGGAAAATGCATGGCGGAGGAGCGCCCGGCTCGTGTTAATCCCCTGCTGCGAGAGGGTCCAAAGCCGCTGCCCGGATGGCCACATTCAGCACCAGCATTTCGTGCAGTCATCAAAGCAAGGCATGGGCAAGAAATGTTTTTCCTCGTAAGGTGGTGACTGCCTCTGGTCGGTTTGTTCGTCCCTTGGCCGAAATGTGAGGTTGCGCAGGCCTTGCTGGTGGGTCTCACACGCACTAAGCCCCGCAGAAAGCATGCAGCGCACCCCACGAATAAATCCTTCCGATGCGGCCAGATGAATGCAAGATGAGCTTACATCACTTTACATGTCATGTCGTGAAAACTCCAGGTCACAGGAGCTTTGACGGCCGTAGCAAAGTGTCGAGCAGTCGTATCATATTTAGAGGGATATGATGCGGGTTCTTGCTTCGGTGTCCCAGCTGCGGTTTCAGTACTCCGTGGCACTGCAGGTTCCTGACCCTCTACCTTTGCGGTGTCCTATCCGTCATCGGTTACGACTCGCTGGGCATCGATCTGCCAGCCCTGCAAAGCACATCTGACATGCTTGGAATGCTCCTGGACTTCAGCCAGTAAGTTGATGCTGGGTCTGTAGGAGTAGTAACTGCCCGAAGGGGTCACCTTGAAGGTACACGCGTTCCAGGGCTGAGCAGCTCAGTAGCTTGTCATGGGGCATCGGTCGGAGGCGAACCCCGGCCGATAAAGCTTACACCGAACACATCTACCTTCCACACACCTCGTCCAGAAAGTTCATATAGGGTTCAGGGTTTATAGGGGTTTAGGGGTTTGGAGGGCCCTATAAAGCTACCATGAGCTCGCCGGACTCAGGCTTCAGAGCGACAGTCCGTCTGACAGCGCTTCGCATCCACCTGCTCCGGCTGCAGAATCTGCTGTGCCGGTAGAGCCAGTGAGCCTGTCGACGCCTTCGTCGCCTTCTCCGCTGCTGCTGGAGTCCTCCAGGACCGTTTGCTAAGCAATTCCCTTATCAGCGACAGCTGCTTGAGCTACTTTGGGTTTCCAGACCGATCCAGAGCGTTTGGTTGCAGCGAGGAAGATACCGAGGGTGGGCCGCAAAGAGCTGAAATTCATCAACAGCCAGATCGGAGGGAACCTCATCAAGGACTTCTGCTCTGATGCATGGTATTTCTGGACTGTAGCCCGTTGACAGAGCCCGAGAGCACTGGCCACCACCCCTTTTGAAACCAGCAATTCAATCTTGCAGTCCTGGTGAGAGAAACATGAGCATGTGAGCAGTTGGCGCAATGTGTCGGATCTGGCTAGCCCACCTTTGAATGGAAGAGGTTGAGGTGTGCTGGTCACTTAGAAGATCGATGGGGCATATGCACCCCCTAGATGCACAATGTACACCTTCCACCAACAGATCCGGTTCGAGCTTCATGTGTAGGAGATGGTGACCACACCTCCTCACAAGTTTGGGCGCGACCCAGCAGAACCAGGCTTGGCCGGGAACACGGTAGGATATCCGTTGGTAGAGTCGGACGTCCAGACCTGTAGAAGTTGTAGAAAGATTGCATAATGTGCCGAAGCAGCATGACCATTTGGCCCCTGACTGCCCTGTGCTTCTAAAACGTCACAATGCAAGCATACGAAGGTGGATGCAGTGTTGATGATAGCTTGACTATGCATGTATGGTCACAGAGGTGGATTGGTTGATGTGGTTTGCCGACATGCAGTAGTTTGCAGGATTTGAGCCTGGGTTCAAAAATGTATGTGTGGGCTCCCTGCCCATCGGGCACATGGTGGTGCACGTCCACCCACCTCACAGTTGCGATCGTAATTCAGACTGCTGATGGAAAAGATATATGCGCTGTTCTCGCACTTGCGGGGCTTGAGTCTGAAAATTCGAGAGCTTCTGGAAGCAGTACCCTTGCTTGCAGGTGCGCACTTCTTTGAAGCCTTCCGCCACCTCAGCCAGGAGAGGCGGCGAAAGTACGACTGGTGCCTTTGATCTGAAGCAGGGCTCTTCCAAGAAGCATTCTACTGTCGGACCCTTTAGCTTGTGGTGTTGATGGACCTCCAGGTTCTTCGTTGTCCGTGAGCCGGTCGACCGTTTTCTCGCATTCTACGCCTGCTGCTCCCGAGGACCGCACGGTATGAGAAGCTCAAAGCACATGGTATGTCGTCCAGATTCGAGCTCGAATCAGTGCTTGCGCACAGAAAGAAGCACTCTCCCAAAGTCCTTCGATGGTGATGCATGTGGGCATATCTTGACCACAATCTTCCTGGGAATGATCTCAGATTCGTCTCAGATCTCATCAACTCAAGAGCACAGTCAACTTTAGCGACTGCTACTCTGTTGACACTAGGCGGAAAATCGGTAAAATTGACCTTGCACCCTTCGAACGTACTAGCTGGTCGGGAGCGAAGTGTATTGTCCGTGCATGATGGCGCTAGAGCTACAGTCAAGATCGACATTCCTTTGAAGCCCGTTCGACACTCACGCACATCAAGTAAGCCCAGAATCCAAAACGACCCTACTGTGGCAAGGAGGGAGGCACTCAAGCTAAGCCCCTAAATCATGAACCCCGCAAACTTCTTGGAGCCCAAACTCCAGAATCCCTCACCCGAAACCCTAAAGGCAATAAATCCCAAAAGCCTGAACAAACAGTTAGTGAGAAACGAGAGCCCAAGCCAGCCGTGAACCACACGGTCCGGGAGTTCAACGATTGGTTGCAAAGTCAGCTTCGGGCTGCAACCAACAAGGGCGCACCTCCGTTGCAAGAATAACTGAGTCGATTGATTAGAAATACCATTCCCCACACAAACACAATTTTAGAGGCGCCACATTCCGTGGCTCGGACTTCCGACAGTCAAGTCAAGTCAAGTCAATACATTCCATGATATGCAACCCCGAAGCCCTATCCCGACTGTTAAGGCTCCTATACTAACGAGCCGCGAGTGTGCATAATATATTTGTACCAAGAGAGTCTGATGGAACAGAAAGCTTTATTGATGAGTACTCGCATATACATATTCATATACATATACATATGTATATGTATATATATATATACATATGTATGACATATATCGCACCGACTACGGTATCGGTTTAAGTAGATGACAGTATCCGATAGACCTGTATGGCAACCCATCTCATTGGAGCAACCTGGCAATTGAAATCTGCATCCGTGAACGTTGCTGGTCTTCAACAAAGTTGTACATGTAAACCCCAACATTCCGACAACCCCAAAGATTCCAAACATTCCCGAAGTTCCAAAATTCACAAAACTCCGAAAATTCGAATCATCAAGAAAGTCCAGCTATGTCCTAAGCTTCGAAACATCAAGAAAGTTCATCTATGTCCCAAGATTTGGGGAGAAGTCGTGGGCTTGGAGAGTCGAGCAATTCCAACCTTGATCGTGTTATGTTTTTTTAGATTAGCTGCCTTATGTTTTTCTTGGCCTACAATTGACGTTTGTTTGTGGAATCTTGTGAAAGTGGGATTGCAAAGCTTGTCCACAAACCTTTTGTTTGAAATTTTGGGTGTTTTGGAATGATGATGTTTTTTGGTATTTACAGTTGTTTGAATACCCGAGAGGTATTTAAGTAGTGGACGCACTGCAACGACTTGAATTCGTGTCGCTTAATGCTCGGGTTCACATGTGATGTTCACGTGAGACTTACCCCATTATGCCAAAGCAGTATGGGTGATATGAACCAACTGCCCAGTCGATACCTGGCTGTAGCTTATGTCAACATGTCCGTGTGATCTTTCCCATTTGCTGTTGACAACTATTAACTGAGGCAAGCCACCATGAACTATTCAACAAAAGTTTAATCTAATATTAAGTGGCAAATTCCTTTTAACAGAAAATAATATCAGATGTAGTCACCGCAAAGGCTGAGTGAGTGCAAGGTGGTAGGTAATGGATAGCAACCTGGATGAGACGGGCGTTTGACCTGTTCGCCCAACATGTCGTACAGAAGTGCATCACATGAGTACTTGATGAAACTCCTTCACTCCACATACGTGATGGTTTGTGTTTCTTCATGAAGTGGATGCACGCTTGGAGTCCTTATACATGCTTAGGAGTTCGCCCGCTCGGGGGCCCTGGCAATTGATGTTTGTTCGCGTGCATGTCTGTGTGCATTTGTGTATGCATGCATAAACTCATGCATACATGTACGTACATGTATGTATGTATGTATGCACGTACATGTATGTATGAATGTATGTACATGTATGTATGTAAGTAAGAAAGTATGTATGTATGTATGTATGTATGTATCTTTGTATGCATGGATGGATGTATGTCCATATGTATGTATGTATGTATGTATGTATGTATGTATGTATGCGGGTTTATGTATGTATGCATGGATGGATGTATGTGTATGTATGTATGTATGTATGTATGTGGGTTTATGTATGTATGTATGTATGCATGTGTATTGGTTTATATATGTGTGTGTGTGGATGTGTGTGTGTGTACGTCTATGTATGTGGGCGTATGTATGTAGCTATGTATGTGGGGATGTATGCATGTTTGGGATTTGTGTTGGTGTGTGAAGTTATATGCTTGTCTGTCGGCCTCTTCGTCTGTCTGTCTGTCTCTCGGAAATCGTACATAGGTACGAACGTGCGTATGTATGTATGTTTGTATGTATGTATCTATGTACATACGTATACCTGTATGTAAGAAAGTATGTACATATGATACACATGTATGTGTTGTGTGTGCCTGTGGGTATTCGTCGGATTCAGCTTTCTGCTTCTTTATTATACATTATGCACTTACATATGGTTCTATTCAGCGGTTCGTGCCTGTTTTTAATTTTTGAAGCCTGTTTTCCAATGCAGATGCATGCTGCATCCTGCTGCTACAGTTGCAGGGTTTCCACATGTGTCCAGAAATATCGCTGTTCAACAGAGTTGTCCCCACAGCAGTGGTATTTCGTTGGAAACAGCCAGGGCACACAACACGAGCCCCTATAATGGGCCCAACCAACGGCAGCATGCAGCCCTGAAACAAGTTGGGCTCGGTTCACTTGAGGTGTTACTTCTATGACGGATAGAAGTCGAAATGCAGTTTCGTTCTCATGCCATGCCTCGTGCTGAGGGCTTCTCTCGCCTGACGGACTACATGGACCCAGATTTCGCTGTTCTGCAGCATGTGATCCACTTTGAAGCTGGACGGCAGCTGAAGGCACTAGCTCCCCAAGTCCAGACGGACTAAGAGTCCAAACAGACATGGCACCAGCTGCATACAAAGTGTCTTCATGTGGGGTTAACGTTACTTTGGCTATCTGAGAAGCTGCCTTGCCAGTGCTACTCAGCTAACACTCTGCATTAGACCTGCTTTCCCTGCAATAAGGAGAACTTGGCGACAGACTTGCGGCACCTCTTGCCCCTCTACAATTTCAGCTTGGACAAGCTTCCGATGCAACCGCCAGAAGGCCGGCGCTTTGTCCGTCAAGACATCAGCGAGGTGGGACACTGCAGGGCATGTTGGAAATATTTCAGGTTGTGTTGTCGATTCTGGAAGCGTCAGACGGCAGGCGGCGGTCGATTTAGTACATCCCCCTTCAAAAAGATAACTCCACATCTAAGAAATGTCCCCGTCGAGCCACGAGACCGACCAGCAGAGACTTCTGTGCATCAGCTTTCCGGCTCTAAGGGCCGATCAGAAAGAAGCACCGGAACGTCGGAACATACCTAGACATTCCACCTACCCTCTATTAGGCGCTACATGCCCATTATTTGGGACCATATACGCTTATTTGAGGGTACAAGGAGGGTCATGGTAGTCTTCTCTTGTGTCCTTCATAGCGACTTCCTTCACGAAGATTCCTCAACAAAGCTCCGTGTCCATGCCGCACGCCTTGTTCGTTGCATGGGATGTGCAGGAGACCATGGGCTTCATCCGAACCTACTACATGGGGGACTTTGTGCACTTTGGCTACCCTGTACCGTGATATCTGGAGCCGGGCCACATTTGCATCTCGCTTCGGCGACTGCAGACTCATCTGCGGATGCTTGCCCAAGGAAAGAGCTTTAGCTTTGCATAAGCCAACCATGGCATGAAGAACCCCAAAGAAGGGTGATCTTGCAGACAAAGTCCTAGAACCACGAGTCAAAAAGGAAGCCGCTGCCTCAGCATTTGTCAGACAAGCCTGATATCTCAAGATAGAGATTGACATGAATGGAGAGTCCTCACAAGAACCTGGGTCATGGCTTTTCGGACTTCGGCCTCAGGACGTCGTTTTGGACTGATATCCGCAGTCCGGATGCTCTGCTTTACTTGCAAGACGTGTTCCTACTCTATAAGGTTGGATCCATCGACAGGGTTGGGGTTCGACCGCAGTGCCTGTAGAGATACGTTGGCGTGCCATTGAAGGCCACGGTTGATGAAAACAAGGCTGAAGTTCAGAGGATGTAGAGTGATTCTAGCGAACAGCTTTCAGGATTTCCACTACTGGAAAGAGGAGGAAGCAGACAACCGGCACCTAGTAAACAAACTTCACCACAGTCACTACAGCAGGATTTATCAAATTTATCAAGCTTCGGTGCAGGAGCCTCGGGAATGCTTCCTGCAAAGAGGGCTTATACAGTTGCGATCCCGTGTCAGTATCGGGATAGTGTTTGCATGTATCAGGGTTGAAGTAGTAGTGGGTGCTCCGCTCGCTTGTCCTGGAAGCATCGTCCAAGCAGGGCTGACATTGAGGGAGCCAGAATCTTGCCGAACCGCCGCTGCTTTGTCAAAGCCGGATGGGGCAGGGATGGTCATGAAGGCGGCGAAGAGAGATGCCAGGAAGAACTAACTTCGGCTTGGCTATATACTCGGGAAACACTTTTCCCGCAGCTCAAAGCATACTGTTACTTGAACCTGCACAGGAGCAGCTAGCATTATACCTCGTACAGAGTCAACAGGCTGTGTGAGTCGTTCCAGGACCGGTAGCAAGTGTAGTGTAGCAGGTAAGTGTAGCAATGATGGAGGTCCGCAGGCAGGAATTCGGTATGGTCGACGGCCAGGAAATCGTGTTCAGGCCGGGCACAGTAAGCAACTGGAAGCGTCGAAGCATGCCGTCAGGTTTTCAGCACTACATTCAAGACAAGGGTCCATGTTGCAGTTGATTTGAGTGGTTTCTGTCACAGCCCTGCAGGGCCAGGAGTTGAGAGTGCATATTTGACACCTAGTGGCTTATATCGGCACCTGATCGCAGGTACGGAGGGCGCATGCTGACAGGACCACGCTGATCGAGAGGGTGTTTGCCTTTTGAGCCCAAGCGGAATCCTGTCCTACGAATCCCTCCAAACTCTGCGTGTTGCGCTCACACGCACAGCTGGTCCTTGTTTGGGTCATACGCCTTCGAAGCAATGCGGTAATTCTCAAAAAATTGCTATGCTATGCTCGTCTCTGAAGAGTGCTTCAGTTCCTAGTCGTCTACACAACTCGTAAACGCTTTTTTCTGCAAGTGCTGCAGAAAGAGCACCTGTACAGATTGTTTAGTCGGCAGCTGCAGGAAAGAAAGGCTGCTATCATCCGAAGCTTTGGTGCTTCCTCGTTGCTCCAGTGCCTCTTCGCCTGCAAAGCGAAAGTTTTTGCGTCTACGCGCGAAGTCTGTACGCCAATGGAGCCGGCAGTTTTCTTTCCGAGAGAAGCTCGCAGCAATTGTCACGGCCAGGTTTTGCAACCAGCATCCTACAAGAAACGAGCAACCCAGAACCATGATTCACGTCGATTCCCAGGGTCTGCACGACCGTCACTCTGGCTTTAACCGTGACCTTGCTGTGGAAGGTGCGGTGGGGCATCACAGCTGCAGGTTGCGTGTGGCTTGTTGTGGTTAGGCTGCCTTGACGAAGTCTTTTGGACCCCGGTATTCGGGTTGACAAAGTCCGTGTGAGCTTTGTTCGAACTCGTCTGATCTATGTCTTGTTTTGGACTCCTGGCGCTAAGCTTACAGCGAGCAGCGCAGAACTGCGGGAAAGCGGCTTGCATCCTCGGCAGGCCAGCTTTGAAGACGGCCTTTCGACGCTTGGCGGTCCAGCTGTTTTGTTCTGTGCCGAGCTGTAAGAAGATGTTGCCCGCAGCTTGTAGTTTGTGGACCCTACTCTTGGATTTTTCGCCCAGCTGCCCAAGTGTAGCTAGCGGACCCTGTCACAGTCTCGTGTGTTTAGTGACTTGCAGTGTGCAGCTAGGGGCCAGGAGGACCGCGGTCAAGACTCATCGTGCTGGAAGGGACAAGGGGCCGAACAGACGTGTAATCTTCATCCATAGCACGTTAGGAAGAGAAATCGCACCAAACAAGAAGAGAAGCAACATTACCGGCAAGAAGGGGCATCAATCGAGACAACTTTTCTGGGCGGCTCGCGTCGTCCAGCTACTGGCCCAAGGCGAGAGCTTCTGACGTTTTTGGTGTTTCTATGATTCGGCCGTTCTGAGAAACCTCGAACTTTTCTTGGCCTGGTCAAATTGCCGAAGGATCGAGCTCGCTATCGACTACCGTGGCACTAGTGATAGGATTACTAAGTGCCATTGTGTTCCTCACAAGCTGTCGGCTGTATGAAGAGATTTCGTTGCCAATTGCCGCCCGTTTGGCCCGACAAGGAAGCAGCAAGAAACTGACGACGCACTGCTGCGTGAGCTCAACCAGTCGTCAACAGAAGCTTGGTGTCGAGTTCAGCATTTTTTTCATCTGAGGGTCTTCAGCGCAACGAGAGTCGGAGGCCTGTTGAACGTGAATGCACGGTCATGCCAGCATTTTTGCGCTTGCTTTCGTTTCTTTGACGGTATGAAAACGACAGGACATCTTGAATAACATGATGCACCAAATGCAAGATATTTCGGCACTGTTTGCTGTCACCAGCATCTCCGACTTCACAGAATGGCCCAGTCTGGCAACTGACGTGAACCTGGAGGCGATCAGCGCATTTCCCTCTGCCATGGAGATCCGACTGGATCAGATCATTCAGCTGTACATGGACGGGATATCGCACCGATTTCATTGCGTGGATTACTTGGCTTACGGAGACCGAACTGGCACCTTCGTCGGAATCGAACGGCTTCCCACGCACTTCACTGACAAGCACCCAAGCTCTAGTGTTTTCGGCGGTGAGCCGCTTGGCCTAGATACGGCATGCTTTCATTGTGGTCTGTTCTTTCCGGTGAGAATATGTCCAGTGCACCCAGCACCAACAGTTGATGGGCCAAGTGTGTATGCACTTGCTCAGCTCATGCATGCCAGCAAACTGCAAGCCCTGAAGTCATGTGCCCCTTAATCTTGGGCTTATCAGACTTTTGGTCTGGGGCAGTTTCTGAAGAGCCCTGCCCACCAGGTTTCGACCATCTGACCTGGTCGGCACCT